AAGGGTTGAAGGGATGAAAGAGGTTGGAAAGAGGAATGGAGAAAAAAGAAGCAAGATATATCATGCACAGGTACAAATTTGCATGAGAGTTTTTACTAGGTATACCTAAAAGAACAAGTAAAATAATGAAAAATAAGAAACACAAATATTCACTAAATACATCACTAAATCCTCAGCATTTTTGGCCATTAGAGAAATGCACATCAAAATGACAATGAAATTTCACTGAACTTCAGTAAAATGGCCTGCATCAAAGAGACAAATATTGATGCTATGGGAGATAAGAAGAACAGTGTTGGAAAAGTAAAGTAGTAACAATACTATGAAAATGAGTGGGAAGATTAGATTTCTCAAAATTCTAAAAACATGAACTCCATTAGATGAGCTATGTCCCTCCCAGGTATTATTCCAAAAGAACTAAGTTCACCATATTACAGTGATACCTGCATCCTCTGTTTCCAGTAGCAACCCTCAGGATTGCTCAGTCATGAAAATGTCTGCATTGATAAAGAAAATATTTCTTTATATACAATGGAGTATTACCTGGTCTTAAGAACAATACATTCATTTCATTTGTAGAAAAATTGTTATACTCTGAATCCATAATGATAGGAGAAATAAGTCAGAAACACGGTTATATATTGCATGGTTTTTCTGATATGAGAAGCCCAAAGTATGAATGACATATCAATGAAATTAAAATATAAATTGTATAAAACCAGGAGATAGACTTTGTAAAGACTTAAGAAGATATGATTATGGGGGAGATGGGAGGAATAGCCAATAAAAAGTAGAAAGAATCAAGGTGTGATACATGTATGTGTACAAATTTCCTATGATGATAGTATGTATTAATGCATAAAAAATATTGCAAAATTTTAAAAACAAATGGAGAGCAAAATAAAAGAACCATGTAAGAAAAAGGAAGGTGCCAGGGATTTAGCTCAGTGGTTTGGTGGCCTGCCTTGCAAGCTCAAGGACCCAAGTTCAATTCCCTGGTACCAAAAAAATAAATAAATAAAAATAAAAAAATAAAATAAAGGAAGGTAAAGTATGTGGAGATTGAACAGGTATTTAGCAAAGGAGTAACAGAGGAGGTCTTTGAAAAGAGATAGGAAATGTCATGAAGGTATGATTTGTATACATACTATTGAAGAAAGAACAACTAAACAGCTCAAAATTCTGCTAAAATATTAAGAAAAATTGTTACAGGAAAAATAATTGTCAATGACTTTTGATCATGTGATGTACAGTAGAATACAATCTCATACTAAATATGCATGATAAAATTATGTTTCAACAATATAAAAAAGAATAATATTTCTCAGTGTCTGCAATTTTAGCATACCTATCTTACCTTTGTATATACTTAAATGCATATATGTGATAAATTACATTTTTGCAACTAAAATTCACAGCTATAGCTAAAATGGGCAGTGGAGATTTGTTGGAGAAATTGCATGTTTTATATATGCATGGCCCATGAAAGAGAGAGGAGTAGAAACAAAGTAGATCTCTAGATGGACTATCCTTTGCTTTGGGAGTCACAAAATCAGCAATTCTGAATTTCTGACTTCTGCAGAGTTTATCTTTCATGTGATTACTTGGAATATCAGGATAATAGGACTGTTTGGGTTTAATGAGGAGTTTTGGATATTGAGTCCTGAGGGACAGAGAGTCTGCCAGGGAACATTTCACTGAAAAGCTGCTTGCACTCAGGAAGAAGAGTTGCATCACCTCCCGCAAAGGATCTGTTTGTTCTGAATTCATTAATTGAATTCATGTGACCACCCTTTTCAAGGCATGTCTTCCATCATCTTCAGGTCAGATGCTGAGCAGCATTCTCTCTGAAGGGAATAGGTAAGTGAAGTCCTTCAGTTAACCATCTGGACCTGCTGGCAGGCATTTTGTCACAATTTCATTCAGGGTAGGTAGTGAAGAAAATGCATGAATAAGGCAACGAGCAACTGGTCCTTTAAGAGACTTGTGGATGACTCTCACTTTGACATGTCTGTCACACTTTTACCAGTTTCTATCCTTCTTCCAGACATTTGTTTTTCTGCATAGCAGTTGTGACCATTTTTCTCCTGAACAGAAATCAGCCTTTCCTCATATACATTGTCTTTCTACAGGGCGGGATTTAGCTCAGATGTTCCACCACCTGAGTCAAACATATCGTCTCTCACAAAATACTCCAAAATTTATTTCAATTCTTTGGTGAACATACATACATTTCTAGAGCTTTTCTATCAAAGTACCACAGACTTGGTGGCTTAATAATAGGACATTTATTTTCTTGCATTTCTGGAAACAAGAATTTGTAAAACCAGAGTTTGAATGGGGTTGGATATTCCTCAGTACTGTCCTTGGCTCCTAACTGGCTGTTTTCTTTCTGTGTCTTCTGCAGTCTTTCTTCTCTTCATTTTCATGCCCTAATTTATTCTTCACTTAAGGTCCCCCCACATCCTGGAATATGGCCCATTCTCGAACCCACATTTAAAACTAGTTACATTTTTAAATTAGGTTTATTGGTATAATTTATTTATACAGTGCAGTTACATTAATCACTGGGATCTTGCACCTTTACATAACATCTTGGTTCTTGTTTTTTCCTCATTCCTTCTCCACTCTTCATCCTCTCCACCTTATATATTTACAAATATTTTGTCTTCATGTTTTTCTTTTTCTCTTATTTTTTCATTTCCCCTCTACAGTCTACACTATTGGGAGTTAAATTTGAATACATGAATTTTGAAGGTGATATAATTTAGTCCATAACCATCAGTTCATCTCATCTTCCTTTTGCTTGTTCAGTAGGTTTCAGTTTACAAACAACTCTTCTAAGGTGATAAGTGCAGATTTTCCTATTTGAAAAACTATGATATACATTTTGGGGGTATAATGTGTTTCTAACAGTAGTATAATAATTTACTTGGGGAAGAAAAAATTTAAATTTTGAGAAAGAACACTAAGCGACAGTCTTCAAATATGCCTTTATTGTTTCTTGCAATAAAACATCTCAACATATATGCTAAGGAATATAAAAATTTTACTGTTTGTTAGCCAGCTTCTGTACTTCTATTATGCATTCATGATCTGTAATGATGATACACATACCTGTGCATATTCAAAAATGCTTAACATTTTCTCATACGGGATATGTTCCTTAGTTCAGGAATTCAAAATTGGGGGGATTCATGACTCTCTTTTATTGTTTATTTAATGCATTTTTCTTGGAAAAGATTTATATATAAATGTGTGTATTTAATATTACTTTCTTCCTTTTTCTACGTAACTAAGACTCTTAGTGCTATTTTCAATACAAGAAACTGTCTGTGTAATTTGCATTCATTAAGCTATTGATGTTCTTTCTTTCATTTCAATGGACTCAATTTCTTTTTGAGAGGTGAAAAATGTCAAGCATCATTGCTCATGGGACACACACACACACACACACACACACGCACTGGAAGGCTCAGTATGTGAATTCCATCTACCCACACTTGTTGTCAGTTTTTGCTTTATTCTTTTCTCCTCTCTGAAAATTTTCTTTTGAAATTTATTGAGTTATAATTACATGAATAAAAGGGTCTATACTTAATATGTATGATGTGGTGGAGGGAGAAATATAATTTATGAAGTGAACATCACTTTATAGCTAAGCAGCACATCCACCAGGCAGTTTCTATTAAACAAAGGAGGGTGCCCAAGCTTCTCTTCATGTTGAATATTTTTTATCATCACAAAGTAAATTTGGGAGCTTGAATTGAGTGTGTGATTCCAATATGAAGCAAAATGATCATAGCTGCATCTGTCTTCCTAAGAAGATGAATATCTTTGTTCTTTAAGGACACAACTGTTAAAAACCTGATTTTCCTATGTGTGTATTATCTTGTGAATCTCTATCTTTGGAACAATAACCAAAAAAAATTGTGCCAGCATCAGTTTTCAAAAGAACACATGAATTTACTCATTTTAAATATAGCTATATTTTTGGTGTCTTAAATTCTATTAATGACCTGGTCCATGTATTTAAGGGAAGAAGTTCCCAGAAGGTTATTCAGAATAAATCATCCACATTGTTATTCAGCTACTCTTATAGTTATTTACTAATGCAGATTGGTTTTATTTGTTTCCAACAATGTCTTGCAAATACATAGGCAATTTTTTCTAATACTTGCTCACAGTCGCCTGATGTATATTCTCCACTGATTACAATTAGCTTACAAGTGGAAGTAGGCATGCTTAAGTATTAATAGAACATTTGGGGCAGAAAAAGAAAGTATTAAAATTATAAAATAAAGTAAAAGCATGACATTCAGGATAATTTAGAAATGCTAATGCTGCCCAATCAAGAGACATTAACAAAAACTTTTTCAGAAAGTCAACTCATCAGTCAGACCCTTGGATCTCTGAATGAGTCTTTCTTAATCATTAACTTCATACCTTGTGTCCATGATTTGTTCTCATAGGTACACAGTGCTGATACCATGAAAGGCTTCATCTACATGTTGCCAAAGCCTTTGAGTGATCCTGAGGCATACCAATTTGGAAAAAATGGCTCAGAAGATGTACGTGATAAGTCAAGCATTATACATTTTGTTTGAGGGTGTGAAAAAATTCTAAAGGACGTCCATGTCATATCATCTCACAGTCTCAGAAAATGATACAGTATGAAAAAGTTTTAGAGCTCAATAAAGAGAGTCGAAGTCAGAAGATATGACTCAAAACGAATAGGAGAATATAAGTAAAAATTTGAAAATTTGTGTAGCTCAATAAAAATTACAAAATATTTCTTTGTATTAACAATTTCTTTTTGAAACTTCAGAAGAATCAAATTCATCTGGAGTGTTTGCTAAAACAGATTGTTGGCCCTTACTCTCGCATTTTGTCAAAGCAAGTCCAGAGCAGGTCCAAATTTTAAATATCTACTGTGTTTCCAGACACTGTCCCTTTTGCTTGTATAGAAAGTTTGTTTTATTTTGTTTTCACCATTGTTTTCCATCAGATTCATCAGGAACATGCAAGCTATAAATCAAACAGGTGTTTCAGAATTTTTTCTCCTGGGACTGACAGATGATCCAGAACTGCTGCTCCTCATCTTCTACCTGTTCCTGTCCATGTACCTAGTCACTGTGATTGGGAATCTGCTCATCATCCTGGCCGTCAGCTCTGACTCCCACCTCCACACCTCCATGTACTTTTTTCTCTCTAACCTGTCCTTTAGTGACATCTGTTTGGTCACATGCACTGTCCCAAAGATGCTGGTGAACATCATAGCACAGGATCAGAGCATCTCCTACACAGGCTGCCTCTCCCAGGTCTGCTGTGTCTTAGTTTTTGGTGGTTTTGAAAGTTGTCTCCTCACAGTGATGGCTTATGACCGCTATGTGGCCATTTGTCACCCTCTCAGGTACACAATAATCATGAATGCTCAATTCTGTGTCTTGCTAGTATTTTCATCCCTGTTTATTAGCACTGTGCATGCCCTGCTCCACACTCTGATGGTGCTGCACCTGTCCTTTTGCACAGACCTGGAAATCCCACACTTTTTCTGTGAGCTTGCTCAGGTCATCAAGCTCGCCTGTTCTGAAACCCTCAGCAATAACATTCTAATATATTTGGTGGGTGGCCTCTTTGGTGGTGTTCCTCTCTCAGGAAGCATTATCTCTTATATTCCCATTATGTCCTCAGTCTTGAAAATGCCATCAAGAGGAAAGTATAAAGCCCTTTCCACCTGTGGGTCTCATCTGTGTGTTGTTTCATTGTTCTATGGGACAGGATTTGGGGTCTCCATCAGCTCTGTAGTTACAGATTCAACAAGGAAGACTGCAGTGGCCTTGGTGATGTATTATGTGGCCACTGAGATGGTGAACCCTTTTATCTACACTCTGAGGAACAGGGACATGAAGGAAGCCTTGAAGAGACTCAATGTTATGTTACCTTCTTTTCTGTAATGTATCATTTGTTTTGCATTCAGGTTTCCAGAGCAAGTCAAAGCAACAGGATTTGGGGGAGTCAGAAAGCCCTATCCTTTTCTTTCCATAGGACAATTTTCTATCATGATTATATAACATAATGTCAAATGGATTTGAACCTGACTTGCAACCTGATGTTGTTTTTTGCTTCACTCTGTAAACTTGGCATGTTATTTTAATTCTCTAAACATAATTTCTTTTCTTAAGTTCCATTGACACAGAGCCTGAAACAAAGGCATTATTAATTATTATTATTATTATTATTATTATTATTATTATTACTATTATTATTATTGTACCAGGGATAGAACTCGGGTCCTTGCATTTGTGAGGCAGGTGGCAGAACCACTGAACTAAATTCCTGGTCCCAGAGGCTCTAATCTTAACAAGTTTCTGCAGTGTAGTCTCAGAAAAAGGTAAGATGAAGAAGTGGGTAGAGCAGGGAATGTAAGCAAATCTATTTTCATAAGGAAAGACATATGGTTATGGCTCTGTGAGTTGCATCCTACAGCAAGTACTGCTAATGAAGCAAAAGAGAGAATACCGAGAGACTTTGAGGCAATTCTTAAGTTCTGTTATTGAAAATCACAGCTTTCAAGGTAATAACAGCACCTGCCATATTTAGGATTATCATCTATAAAATTTTTATAATTGATGAAAGCAATGATGACATTATTTTGTGTTATTTAAAACTGATTATTAAAGTGTGAAGAGAAGGGGAAACTAAATAATGGAAAAATAAAAATGTGAAAAAAAGAAAAAATGGAAACAAAGTCTTTGTAAATGTGGAAGCGAGGGCAGTGGTATGGAAAAAAATAAGAACCAAGACATATCATGTAAAGGTATAAGAACCCATGATAAATGTAACTGTTTTGTTTGCTTGCAGTGTACCAACAAACTTAATGGGGAAATAATGTAGGACCAGGGCCTGCTTCTGCCTATGAATCCAGTTGTTGTCTGCAGTGCTCTTCACATCTGAATGATACTTAATCCTATTTTCCTCTTGGAACTACAAGTAAACTCTTCTGATGGTTAAACTGATTATGATAGCTAACTGTGTCAACTTGAGAAAGAAAATCCCAACTGGTTGGATTAGCATAGTTCTTGATGTAGCCGAAGGGATTTACTAAACACAGACGACTTGCCCAGGCTGCAAGTCGCACCCACTAATGGGCTTGTAGCCTGGCTGGAATAAAAGTGAAGTGAAGAAGGAAGACTTGTTTCTATTTCTTCTGAGAAGCTCCTGTCCTTTCCTTTACCTTGGTTGTCATCCTCTGGCTTCCACTTCTTGTGCTTTCTGATATGGACTTGCAAGGGACACTACTGTGACCTCCTTGCCTTCAAATTTTAACTAGATCCTCTGGATCTACAGTGTGCAAACAACACTTTTACACTCTTCCACATCTGAGTATTGTAAGGCTACTGTAAGCCTATCCTGTAAATCATTACATATTTATATATCTTGTGTTAAATATGTTCCTATAGAGACAAGTGAGTGATATACATAGAAAACCTGTGCAACACAAAGAGGATAATTTTAGATCTGATAAGCATATTCAGCAAAGTGGCAGGATACAAAATCAAATTCAAGATTCAAAAGCATCCCTATTCACCAACAATGTATTCATTGAAAAAATAATTAGGGAAGCAATTCCATTTCAAACATAATAAAAATTTACATACCTCAAAATCTAACTAACCAAAGAAACAAAAATACTTTGCAATACAAAATTTATGGAACATGAAGAAATTAAAACAACCTTGGAAAAAACTTTGTTCATGAATTGCAAAAATTAATTTTGTTAACAGGCACATATTACCAAGAGCAATGTAAACTTTTAGTGAAATTTTTATTTAAAAACCAACAATAGTCTTTAAAGTGCTAGAAAAATAATCCTAACATCCAATGGAATCAGAAATGAATTAAAATGGCCAAAGCAACTTTGAACAAAAAGAGCAGTGCTGATGACTTCACAGTATCAGATTTCAAGTTTTACCACAAAACCATAGTAACAAAACAACATGATATATCACAAAATCATAGGACATAGACCCAGATCAATGTAGCAGAGCACAAAAAAGCAAACCCAAGCATCTCCAGCTATTTAAATTTTGTCAAAAGAACCACAGACACATGCTGAAGGAAAAAGCCTCTTCAACAAATTGTTCTAGGAAATTGGATAGATACAAGGCAATTATTGATATTAGATTTCTATTTGTAGTCTGTACTAACAAAAGTTAAAATGGATCAAAGACCAGATACAAAACCAGAAGCCCTAAAAATTTCTGCAGGACAATATAGGGGAAACACTTTAAGCCACATGCATAGACTTCCTGATACCACCCTTATAGTAATATATATAT